TTTCACAGTCACCAGCAGCTTCCTGTCACCATGGCCCCCAGTTGTGACAGATGCCTCATTCAAGGTGAAGAGCCATGTCTACAGCCTGGAGGGCCAGGACTGCAGATACACCCCAATGTTTGGTCCTGAGGTCCGGACCCTGGTGAGTGGCCGAAGGTCCACCCTAGTGTGAAGTCCCTGAAGCAATGACCAGCTGAACCAGGGAAGGGGTTTTCAGTACAGGGAAGAAGGAAGGCTGGGTACTGATGCCCCAAGCCTCCTCTCTCCAGTAACGCCTAGTGTTTTCTCATAATGAAGACCGTCCACACCGTAAATTATAAGATTCTGTTTTTCCCTCTGGGTGAGCACTCTTCCCAGAGCTGGTTCCCCGGGGCCATCCTGCCTAAGTGGTGCTGACACCTCCTTTGGTGGCCCCTCGAGTCCCTTTGCCGTGTCTGTGCCTCCCTCACAGGTCTTGCGCCTTGCTCAGCTCATCACACAGGCCAAACAGACTGCCAAGTCCATCTCTGACCAGTGTGCGGAGAGTCCGGCTAGCCGGTCCTTTCTGTCATGGCTGGGCTTTGGCGCCACAGACCCAAACAGCTGCTACCCGGGCAATGACCTGGATGAGATGGGTCAGGACAGTGTCCGCAAGACAGATGAGTACCTGGAGAAGGCCCTGGAGTACCTGCGTCAGATATTCCGAGTATGTCCTACACAGTCCCTCTCTGAGGGACTCTCCAGTAGGGGTGAAGTGCTCCCCCTCCTTCCCTTTGAAATCCCCCTGAGCAGAGCTCTTCTCTCTGGTAGCTAAGTGAAGCCCAGCTGGCCCAGCTCACACTTGCCCTGGGGAACACACGGGATGAGAATGGGAAGCAGCAGCTACCAGACTGCATTGTGGGGGAAGAAGGACTCATCCTTACACCCCTGGGCCGCTACCAGGTAGGTTGCTAACAGGCCACTATCACGCTGATACCACCTCTATCACAAGGGGCACATAAGGTCACATGATCTGTCCTTGGCTTTCCCCCATCCTCTTGCCTGTGTTGTTCGCAATGATGTATTTTTGAAACTTTTCCCACTGCCTGGGTTTCTAGATCATTAATGGTCTGCGAAGGTTTGAAATTGAGTATCAGGGGGACTTAGAGCTGCAGCCCATCCGGAGCTATGAAATCACCAGTCTGGTCCGAGCACTCTTCCGGCTGTCCTCTGCAATCAACCGCAGAGTAAGTGAGCAGCAGGGCAGCTGGAATGCTCCTGGACATAGCTTCCAGAGAGTGCTCCCACCCCTTCATGGCCCTGCTGGATCCTGCCGGCAGTCTGGGTGGAGAATGAGCCCATGGGAAGCACCTGGCCCCGAGGCAGCCTGGAATAGAGGTGCTCTGCCGTCCCCAGTCTGCTGAGCCCTTGTGTATTACTCAGTTTGCAGGCCAGATGGCGGCTCTGTGCTCCCGGAATGACTTCCTCGGCAGCTTCTGTCGCTATCACCTCACCGAGCCCGCCCTGAGCAACAGACATCTGCTGAGCCCTGTGGGGCGGAGGCAGGCGACCAGTCCTGCCCGGGGCCCCAGGCTCAGCCTGCGTTTCCTGGGCAGTTACCGGACGCTGCTCCTGCTCCTGATGGCTTTCTTTGTGGCTTCTCTGTTCTGCATTGGGCCCCTGCCCTGTTCCTTGCTTCTGGTCCTAGGCTACCTCCTCTATGCCATAGCTATGACACTGCTCACGGAGCGGGGGAAGCTGCATCAGCTCTGACCTGCTGGCCGTCTCTCCTGAGCAGACTGGTGGGAGTTGATACATGACCCATTCCTGGGCCTGACAGGCCCTGGCAGGTTGCTTTGAAGCCAGGAATAGAAGGGTAGGTCATCTTCGGAGTTCTTGGGAGTGGTTTCCTTGCAAAGATGGAGTTATTCAGAAGAAACTAATGTAGGAAGGGAGAGTGGTCCAGGCTAGGTCTGTAAGGGATGGTGTCAGAAGGTTCAGGAGCCATTCTGTAGGACAATGAGTGCTGGCCATGGGTCATCACCTTCAGCCCAAGGTCCCACAAGTAGCTGAGCTAGTAATCCAGGCCTTGGTAACCATTTTACTGTTTTGCTATGCAGAGCTCAGGGACTGTTGTGCCCACAGCAGGCTCTGGGCCTGGGGTCTGTGGGAGCTGATCCTGCCCAAGCCTCTGTGAGGTGGGCAGAATGGGTTGTGATATCTTCTCTCGCCATGAAACACCAGGACAGCAGCTCCACATCCACTCCAAAGGAGAAGCCGAGTTTTAAGAGATGACTGAGAAGTCAGCTCTGCATTCACTTAAACATCACTTTCGCTGCTGCCCTTGGTCTGTGTCCCCAGCTGTGGGCCCCAGGAGACCCGCAGCAGCAGGCACGACAGGCAGACAAGTCAGGCCTGGGCCACAAGCCATTAAGTGAGCTGTCACTTAGAGTGCCCTGGGGCAGGCCAGCAGTGAACAGAGCTACTGGTCCCCGGCTGCCTGGGGACGGAGTTGGGTCCTAGCAGCTTCTGTGGCTACAAAGTGCAACAGCGTTGGTTTTACCTCGAAAACCAAGGACTTCAAGGGAAATTCACCTTGTAGCAGCACCCTGTATGAAAGAAGGACACCTTCAGTCAAAGCTCAGACACCACAGGCCTCGTCCTCATCCTGCAGGAGACACAGCAGCAGCAGCAGCAGTCCTTTGTTTTGGGTGTGCACAGCTGTTTTTTAAGGAATACATCATGGGACTTTTTTCAAGTTTTAACACTGGTCTTTGTATTTCAGTGTAATTTCAGAATACATCATGGGACTCATGACCAAAAGTCGACCCAAAACATAACTGACCAAGGATCCGAATAAAATATTCTTCGGAGACTCTCACTGTCTGGACTGAGTGTTTAGCACCTTCACCTGCGTGGGGTCCCTGGGCACTTGGGAACCGTGGAACAAGCTGCTGGGCACAGTGGCGCCTCGTTACCTCCTCATGCAGTCCTTTTTTGCCTGGGAGTCCTGTTTCTTCCCTAGTGCGAGTTGGATTCACTTTAACACTGGGTGTCGTGAGACCTTCCCCTTCTCAGTGTGTCAGAGCTGACTCCTGTCCATCCAGAACAAGTATCACCTCTGGCTTTCAGAAGCCTTTTTTTCATGTTTTTCGGGGTTTCTCTGTGTTGTTTTGGTGCCTATCCTGGATCTCACTCTGTAGACCAGGCTAGCCTCGAACTCACAAAGATCTGCCTGGCTCTGTCTCCCGAGTGCTGGGATTAAAGGCGTGCATCGCCACTGCCTGGCTTTTTTTTTTTTTTTTTTTTTTTAAAGAATGTTATTTTTGTAGGCAGATCTCTGTGAGTTCTACAGAGTGAGTTCCAGAAAAGGCACAAAGCTACACAGAGAAACCCTGTCTCGGAAAATGAACAAACAAAAAAAGAATGTTATTTTTATTATGTGTGAATAAATGTTGCTTGTGGGTGCTGGGGACCAAACCCCAGTCTTCTGCAGTGCCCTTAACCCACTGCTGAGCCATCTCTCCAGTCCCCAGAAGAGTCATGAGCATCTGGAGCTATGCTAGCCAGCTCTAGGCCAGCGCCTTCCTTATGGGGGAGGGGCGGTTGCCATTTCAGTGTCCAGTGTCCCCGAGTCCCCTGGTCAAAGCTTCTGAATGACTAGCCCTTATCAATAACCCTACCAGTATATTTTTTAGGGGGAGAGGGTGTTTAAGACAGTTTATCTATGTAGCCTTGGCTGGCCTCAGAACTCAGAGATCCACCTGCCTCTGCCTCCCAAGCGCTGGGATTAAAGGCGTGTGCCACCACTGTGCCCAGCCTATCGATATTTATGAGATAAATCTTTTAAATGTTTTTTTCCTCTGGTACTTTCATACATATATACAATGTATACAATCCACCCTGACTACCCCTCCACATCTCCTGGAGTTTATTTTTTTTCCATTTACTTATGGGGGGGTGGAGTGGGTGCACACGTGTCGTGGTGTGTGTGTGGAGGTCAGAGCAGAAGCTGAAGGAGCCAGCCCTCTTCTGTCTTGTGGCTTTGAGGAACTGAACTCAGGCTGGCCAGCAAGCGTCCTCACCTGCTGTCATAGTTAGCTTCAGTTGTAACTTACACCTGAGGAAAGGGAGCCTGGGCTGAGGAGGTGCCTGTGGGACCTTCACTTTGGGTGGTCCCATCCCTAGACAGGTGGGCCTGGACTGGATACGGTGACTGACTGGGAGCCTGGGAACAGACCTGTTAGCAGTGCTCCTTCCTTGGTTTCTGCCCCAGGCGCCTGCATGATAGACTGTAACCTGTAAGCTAAAATAAACCCTTTCTTTCCCATTTTGCTTTTGGTTGTGGTATTTATCACAGCAGCACAAAGTGAACCGAGGCTCTCACCATCTCCCTGGTGATTGTTGTTTTAAATAGGATCTCACTGTAGCCTACCTAGCCTAGGTATTAGCTTCCATGGTCAGTTTGAAATGATTTTTTTTTTTTTTTTTTTTTTTTTTGGTTTGGTTGGCTTTTTTGGTTGTTGTTTTTGTGGGGTTTTGTTTGTTTTTTTGTTTGGACAGGGTTTCTCTGTGTAGCTTTGGTGCCTGACCTGGATCTGTAGAGGCTACTCATAACTGTCTCCAGCTCCAGCTCCAGGGGGTCAATGCCTGGATGGGTACATGCACACCCACAGTATACACTCATACAGACTCGCATAAATGAAAAAGACTGTAAGCCGGGCCTTCCTTGTTTCAGGCTGCTGGCTGGGTTCTCTGCGTAAAGAGAGAGCGCTTCCTTCAAACAGCCCTCCTTTTCTTTTGTCTTTTTTTTTTTTTTTTTTTGGTTTTTCGAGACAGGGTTTCTCTGTGTAGCTTTGTGCCTTTTCCTGGAACTCACTTGGTAGCCCAGGCTGGCCTCGAACTCACAGAGATCCGCCTGGCTCTGCCTCCCGAGTGCTGGGATTAAAGGCGTGCGCCACTACCGCCCGGCTCTTTTGTCTCGTTTTTAAAGATTGCTTTTATCTTTTTCCAGAGGATCTCACTGTGTTGCTCTGGCTGTCCTGGAACTCACAAAGATCTGCCTGCCTCTGTCTCCCAAGTGCTGGCATAAAAGGCCCTCCTGTTCTTTAGGCGTCTCTCTTGTATGTTCAGACAGCTTTTTTTTTTCCTACTTATATCCACAAAGATTCTGTCAGTGTTGGAAGATTTTTTTTTAAACTATTGATATGTGTTTAAAAAGTAAGCTATTAAAACAACGTGAGAGACGAGTTTAAAACCAGTGCTGTGGCACACACCTATAATCTTGTGCTACCGAGCGAGACCCTGTTAAAAAGTGCAAGCGGGGCTAGGGTGGTGGCTCAGTAAGTATACACGGTGATTGCTGCCCAAGTATGAGGACCTAAATTCGGGTCCTTAGCACCCACTTGGAAGTGGAGGGAAGGCGCATGCACGCACACTCGGGATCTTAGCGCGGGGCGGCATGGAGATGGGGCTCACGGGCCTGCTCAGCAACGAGGAAGGAGCTCAGCTCACAAGCTAAAGGTGGGGAGTGAGACCCACGTCGAGCGCTGGTCTGCACACACACCCGCACCGCACCGCACCCGCACACGACGCGCGGTAAAGGCGGACGGTTCCGGCGGCTTCAGGAGTCCGGCGCGCTCCTCCCCGCCGAACGCGGCCGCAGGCCCCGCCCTCTCGGGCGCACCGGTTCCCACGGCGACCGGGCGCCAGGCTATAGCAGCCGGTACTGAGCGGCGGCGGCGGCGCCTTCATGAGCGGGGCGGGGGTGGCGGCCGGGGCGCGGCCCCTCAGCTCCGCGGCCCCAGGCTCCCGGGGTGCGTCCCGCCCACGCCCGCGCCCTCCCGTCGGCCCGCAGCACGCGGGGACGCAGCCGGCTCCGCTCGGGCTCAGCGAGGCACAGAAGCGGATCCTGGACCTGGAGAAGAGCCTGCAGTTCCTACAGCAGCAGCACTCGGAGACGCTGGTCAAACTCCACGAGGAGATCGAGCACCTGAAGCGGGAGAACAAGGGTGAGCCTCTGGGGGCCGGCCCGGCATTGACAGCCCGAAGGCCACGGCCATCAACTCTGAACAGTCTTCGGCTGCGGGGAAGGACGCGGGCGGCTTCTCTTCAGTGGGTCCTTTTGTGCCCCCTCCCACACAAACGCCGATCCTCCTGTGCACCCTGCCCAGCGCAGTGTGTGGCCCACCTCGTTGTTTAAAACCGTTGCGGAAGTTAAACAGCAGAGCAGATGCGAGTAGATGGTCACCAACTAAACCCATGCGCAGGGACTGCCCGGATACTGCCCCCATCCCTACCAGCGGGGCACGCTTCATGCTCCCCAACCCCGAGGCTTGGCCTACTCAGAACTTGAGGCCTCTGTGTGACATGACTGTGCTGCTAGCACCTTAGCTAGGGCCCTCAACTTCCTCCCACCCTGTAGCCTCAGTTTCTCCCTTTTTCTGGTACTGTTTCTTACCCGGAATGCCAAAGATTCTCTCACTGGGCATCTTATTACATTAGGGCTCCCTCTCTATGCTTTCTGTGAGGCTCACCCCACGTCTCACTGACCGGCCTCATATCACACACACCCTGTTGCCTGGGGCTCCTGGAAGGCTAGCCATCCTGCCTTCCGCAGCCCTGTCCCTGACTGGCCCAGTGGATAGGCTCCTCGCGGGTGTTGGGGATGACAGGGACCAGCCAGAGGCATTTCTGGCTTGGTGGAAAAAGCTGGTGGGGCCACACTTGTGCTCTGAGTGGCTGTAGATTTTAGGTGTGGTAAGGAGTATTTGCTTGCTTTCAGATCTCCACTACAAACTAATCATGAATGAGAAGCCTCAGAAAAAAGGTAGGACTCAGACGCCTGCTGGGAACAAACCAGTACCTGTGCAGCAGCACAAAGCCCTGCTAACTCAGGGGGCCAGTTTGGGGCACTTGTCACCTTCCCAGCCACAGCACGCTGGCTTGCTCTCAGCACCAAAGGCATGAGGTCTATGCAGTAGAACAGTGGGGGCTGCTGAGCAGAACTCCTGAGACACCCGTGTGGCAGCAGCCCCCATCTCCTGGACCTCATTACCCTGGTAGGTTGACGGCTGCTGTGGTGCCTGCCCCTGGGGTCCCCAGCCCTGTGTCACTGATTCCTTACACTCGAGTGAGGTGTCTCTCAGCACACCCACTCTGGGGACTCCTTCCTGCCATCTCTACAGCAGCCTTAGGGACCTGAGAACTAGCCAGTATTCAAAGCACTTCCTCCTTCACAGCCCAAGGGCACATCAGTTGAGTTCCTAGGTTCTCTACTTTCAGGTCATCTGGTGATCTGTTAAACATCCCAGTCCTGGTATGCCCAGGATCCCTCTTCGTGAAGACATGCCGAGAACAGGAGGTGGGAGGGCTGTTCTCCAGCAGGGCAGCATGACCTAGCATGGTGGTTTGAGCCCAGTGCAGCCCAAGTTGGTGGCTGCACCCGCGCAGCTCCTGGTGGCCCTGGCAGGACGTAGAGGTGGGAACGGAGGCTGTGTCTGATCCAAGACCGGCCTCAGGGCCTGCTGCTCCTTCAGTCACGGGCCCTCTACTTTGCAGCTGGCCCCTGCAGAAGCCTGTCCAGGGGTAACTGCTCCTGTAGGGGCTCGTCTAGGTGTGCAGCTCCCACAAGGGAGTGTGGAACACAGCCCTGCCAGGTTTGGGGAGGCCCTGCTTGAGCATGAAGGGCCAGGTAGTGGGCAGAAGCGGGTTCTCAGGCTGAGCCCTGCATCTTCCCTACAGGCAGCATCTCTACATCCAGCCTTCAGTCCAACAAGTCTGCCTCCAACTCCATCACGTCTGGTGAGCCAGGGCCCCAGGCTGGGCAGTCTGGTGGGAGGTGCTGCCTAGTTGAAAACCCTTCTCTTTGGCAAAGGGGGTGGCCCCAATATCCTATGTACAGAAACAAGCAGAAAGAAGTCCTTGAGGGGAGGGTCTACTAAGAGGACAAAGCCTGTCGGTGTGGCACAGCCAGATGATGCAGCAGGCCCATGCAGGGAGGGTAGTGAGTGGCTGTGTCATTAGCGGAGGAAGAAGTCCCCAGCCCATTTCCTTCCGGGAGGGTCAGTGCTCCCCCACAGCCCCGCCCCTCTCCTTCCACTCACCTCCTACAGGAGGCTAGGCAACTTCACTAGCAGCAGCCCCACGTGATCAGCGGGCCTTGGGAAATAAACGCATGCAGGCCAGATCCCAGGCCTCCAGTTTCTTCTACCCAGAACGGAGGCCAGTGTCCACCACTGTGATTTTCTGGCAGGTCCAGCAGGCACCACATCACAGGCTTCCCTGTCCACTTTATTCCCTCCTCTCTGCAGCCCTCTGGAAAGTGTTTCCCTCTCTTCAGGACAGTGGAGGAAACTGATGCAGGGTCAGGGCTTCTTGGGTACACTGGTTGATCCTAGAGAATGGGTCTATGACTTTTAAGGCCTTTTGTGACGGCCCTGTTGGTGTGCCCTGCAGCCAACTCACAAAGCAAGACCAGGCCCCAGCCCGGCTCCTTAAAGAAGCAAGAACTGAAGCCTGACGCTCTCCAAAAGACAGACCTGGAAGAGCAGTCACTCAGCAGTGCTGCCCTGTTCCACGGCAGCAAGCTGGACAGAGTCCCTGAGGCGCAGGGACAGGCCAAGTACGGCCTGCTTGCACCCGAGGACCAGGCCTGCACCCCAGGGGCCCCAAGCTTACCCTTAGTAGGTTTCCACCCTGGGACCAGCAGGCTGCCTTGTCTCCATTATGATGGAAATGGGCTCCAGGGAGCAGGCAGCTGCCAGGCTGCTGTCCATCTACTGGGCACTGCTTTGTTCTCTCCCCTGGGGGTCCTGCAGAGACCCCTGGCTGACCTCACCTACAGGGGACCAGTGGAAACCCCTAAACTACTGTTTCCTCAGAGAAGAGACAAAAAGTGATTTAGCCTCCTAATTAGTTTGCCGGGAAGGGGGTGGGGTGGGGGACCAGGGTCTCGATACGCTGTCCTGGCTGGCCTGGAACATACTCTGCAGGCCTTTACCTGCCTCTGCCTCCCGAGTATGAGGATTACAGGTGTGCATCACCACACCTGGCTGTGTCTGGTCAGTCCGCCTTCGGGAGGCACGGGTTAGCAGTACAGAGCCAGACCAAGCTCTGGGATCCTAGTGTCCCCGTAGTCCGGCTCCACCTTCTCTGAAGCCCCAACTCCTGGATCCACCTTGGGCAAGAAACATGCTGGGTGGGGTCACCTGGCAGCTAGCTAGGTGCCCCCTCAACACAGTGGGAGAAGAGAGACTTGGGTCCTAGCTGGCTCCAGAACACCCTGGCAATGGAAATGGGCCTCTTCCACGCTGGCAGGCATGGGTGCTACCCCAGGGAGGTTGTGGGGGGATGGCTAGACCATTCCCACAGGTCGCCTCTGGGCTGCTGTAATGTTTCAGAGACGAGGATGCAGAGGCTTCCAATTCTGGGGTCACGTTGCTGGGGGGCATGCATGGCCGGCAGGGGGCAGGGACGGCCTCCATCCTGAACCTGCCTCCGCACCTGCGTAAGCCCACCACGGTGCAGCAGTGTGAGGTGGTCATCCGTCAGCTGTGGAACGCCAACCTCCTGCAGGCCCAGGAGGTGAGGCCCCGGGCAGGCACATGGCCCTGCATGCCAGTGGCCTGAGACATGGCACCCACCATGTCTGTCTGTCTGTCTTTCAGCTACAGCACCTCAAGTCACTCCTGGAAGGGAACCAAAGGTCCAAAACTGCAGCTGAGGAGGCTGGGCTAGGCTCTCCAAAGTGAGTCCTTGTGCCCAGCACCCTGCCCCAGCCCAGAGGAGGCGTGGGCCTCACGGCTAACTTCCTTTCCCAGGGACCAGGAGTCCATGCAGTTCCCCAGGGTCACCGCCAAGGGCCTCTCTAAGAAGTGGTGAGTTCCAGGCACAGGGAAGCGGGCACCCCACAGCTTGGTGCCACAGGAGACAGGAGGGTAGGGGTCCAGGCAGGCTCTGCTCCCAGCCTGGCCACTGGCCCAGGGCACCCTTGAGGCAGCTGGCAACCACTTGCCCTGACTATCCTTTCCTCCACCCCAGCCTAATTCTGAGCCCAATGCCTGCAGCAGAGCGTGCCATCCTGCCTGCACTGAAACAAAGCCTGAAAAACAACTTTGCCGAGCGGCAGAAGAGGCTCCAAGTAGTGCAGAGCCGGCGACTGCACCGCTCGGTGCTGCTGAACCGGCGCCCTGGAGCCCAGCCGTCATCTCTCAACAGTGGTTCACACCAACCCTACTTTTCAGCCACACGGAATTCCAAGACAGACAGAACCCATGACAGATAAAGTACTTGCTCTCAGAACTGAGGAAACTGTCTATTTCTTCTATTTTACTATTCCTGCATTTATGCAAATGCACATTATAAAATGTTATTCTACTACCTGTTGACTGAAAATAAAAATTGTTTCTCCATGGCCGGGCGGTGGTGGCGCACGCCTTTAATCCCAGCACTCGGGAGGCAGAGCCAGGCGGATCTCTGTGAGTTCAAGGCCAGCCTGGGCTACCAAGTGAGTCCCAGGAAAGGCACAAAGCTACACAGAGAAACCCTGTCTCGAAAAACCAAAAAAAAAAAAAAAAAAAAAAAAAAAATTGTTTCTCCAAGTCCTAAGCCTCCTTCCTCTCCGCTGTCAGGTGGCCCTGCTTCTCTGGAAGTGCCCTCCTATCCCGCAGCCAAGGCTGGTGCATCATCCCCAGATGCTGTGCACCAGCGGTCTCGTGGCACTCTGGGCAGCTGGCTTTGTTACTTGACTGGCCTGAGGGCTGCCTTCTAGGTGCATGGGTATGACTGAGAACCAGACACTGTCCTGGGCTGCCTGGACACCAGTCTGGCTGGGCTGAGCTGCTTGAGGGCTCACAGGACCACAGCTGAGGGAAACTGTCCTCTCCAGATCACACTACCCCAGACCAGCAGCTGCCACCTCAAGTGGCCAGCTTCTGCCTCCTCCTGCCCAGCTGCCCAGCCCTCACACCACCACTGCCCACTGCATCCATCTCAGCACTAGACTGGGGCCTGGGCCTGAATCAGGATGTGATGTCAGAACGTGGATGAAGTCCAGGGTTTCCCAAGATGGACAGCATCCCCGACAGCGGGCCCAGACTCACAAAAAGGTCGATGCAGTGAACTCCTGACAAACACAGGAATAATAAATTTATTATAAGAATCATATAACAGAGTAGTGCACATATAAAAAGGGGGAATTTCTTTTCATCAGAGTGCGGCCCATTGCTGCCCAGTGTGGCAAGTGCATACTTATGGCAGCATACTGAAGGAAGCCCAGACTCCTGGTGGTAGACAGAAAAGGAATATGGTGTTCTGAGGCTGTGGGTCCCAGTGACAGTCTCTGACTAACCACTCATGTCTCAGCACTGACACAGCCCTTCACCCAAGAGTGGCACAGGAATGTCAGGGACAGCTCCCGACCCCAGCTAGTCCTCCTCAGAGCACTATGAGGAAACCCGTGAAGCTGAGGGCCTGCTGGTGGCAGAGAACCTGCTGCCGCCTTATTGGCCTTCCCTTCAGACTGAACCTGTGCCCCAGATTCACAAGTATCCCTGTGATGTGCCCACATGCCTTCTGAGGGCTGTGACTGGAGAACTGTGTGTATAGTGAGGGTTTCCTGTGTCCCCCACATTCTCCAGACACAAGTACAGTGGACTGTGACAGAGATGCTTAGATGGGACCTGAGTTCTCATGCTGCTGAGTGGACAGAGTCCAGAAAGGCTGTGGAAGTGTGGGGCCTGACTTCTGGAAGAAACCACTGGACAACCTTCCTGGGAACAGTCCAGACCCTTATGCAGCTAGCTCCACAGTTACCTGGTCAACACTGCACAAACACGAGGAGACATGTGCCAGGCCCCCAAGACAGAAGGAGAAAGCGGGAAAGCTAATCTAACCCAGGCCCTCTAAGCCAACACTAGTAACGTCTGGTAGGCGGTGTGAAGTCTGCAGCCCGAGGGCCGCCAGCAGTCCTGAAGTTCAAGTCCGCTAGGCAGCTGAGAGGCAGGCCTGATGGATGCTCTGGGCCCAGGTGTTGAGCAGGGCTGTGACCGAGTGCTTGTCGGGGAGCTGCAGCAGCCTGGAGGTCATGCACTGGTGCACTGACTGCAGAAAGGGATTGGCATCTGCAACACAGTGGCAGCCCTGAGTGCCGAGCCTGGCGAGGCAGCAGTCGCCTGGCCAGCTCTTGCAGCACTTCTGGGAAGGGGCGCCACCCCTCAGGCCCCTGAGCTCCACGGTGGTTGGCGCGATCTTCCAGCCACACTTTCAGTTAAGAACTGGAATTCATTCACATGGGGTCCGGAGCCCCAGACGGTCCCTGCTGTGTGCCAGCAGATCCTCAGGTACTGCTCCCACCCCAGGGGGTCTCCTGGGGGCACTATCACACAGAGGGAGCTACAGGAGCTCCTGCTGGTGGCCCTGGGTCACCTTGTAGAGCTCCAAAGGAGTATCACGAACTTGACTGCCCTCCTCCACTTGACAGGTGCCCTGGAACTGTGGGCAAGGGGCAAAGGGCAGAGTGGCCCTTCTATCTCCAGGCAACTGCTGTCCAGCCTGCCCTGCCCACTGGGGAGATGGGAGGCATCTTTCTGCTGTCTGCCCAGAGATGACCCTGCTGCCTTGGTTTCTCTAGGTTCACCCACCGTACTGCCACTGACGGTCGATCCACATCGGGCTCTGGGCAGGGTAGTCAGCAGGCACACTGAGCTCCAGGGGTGGCACACTAGGGAGGTCCTTGTCATCTGTGACACAAAAACTGCACATGTGACCTGGCCAACAGCCTGGCAAGCACCAACACAATCCTGCGCACCTCATCCATGCTCCTGAGAGGGCTCTCTACCCTCCACAGGGTTCCACCGAAACCTGCTGCAGACCTAGAGGCCTCTTAGCTTCTCAGGCTCTAAAGCCAGGAAACAACTTGTGCAGAGAGGAGCCTGCCAATCGTCTCCCCGGGACCTCTAGCAACCACAGCTACTTTTGTGGAGAAAGACAGATGAGCAGACTCGGGCTGGAAGGTCTGGGGAGCTGGGGTGGGAACGGGAAGTGAGGCTACAGCAGCAGCAATGGCGGCGGCGGCGGCAGGCCACGCCGCGAGCAAGTGTGAACCCGAAGGCCCTGGAGATCGGCCTCCAGCACGATGGCAAGGCACCCACTCCCACTCACCCAGCTTGCAGATGAGGTGGACAGTGCCGTTGTTGCTACAGTGAGAAGGGTCCAAGTTCACCAGGAACTTGGGGTCCAGCCTGGCCACTTCACCTTGCAGCACATTGGGGATGCTCTGCCGCTCGTCCTCCTCAAATCTGCGCTTCCGGGAACACACCACTGGGGACCTGGGGGAAGAGACCCAAGTGATTATGCAGATGTCACACGGCCTCTGGCCTGCTACTTACCGCTAGGCCCAACCTGGGGTACATACACGATAGGTGGGCCGTGGATGGCCATCATGGCTGGCACGAATGTGCGGTACAGGGAATGGTTGAAGACAGGGGAGCGGATGTTGGCCAGGACTGCGTCTAGGAGTGGCTGGCACAGGTCCTGCTGTTTGGTTGGAAGAACTGGTGGTGGTGGGGGTGTGGGCTAGAGACAAGACAGATGGAAAGGGTCAGTGGCCTGGGCTCAGGGCCTCACCATTCTGAGGAATCTTCCAGACCCCAGGGTCCCCAACAGCCTCTACCCTGGCAGAGTGCAAACAATGGTGGTTTTTTCTGAACATATTTCCAGCCTTGCAGCCTCACTCCCACCCCAGTGCCCTTATCCTCAGGCCGGGATCTGAACAGAACTGGCAGGTGCAGGGGACAGAGGTAAGGATCCGGGGCAGAGAGTGACTTCTCCCCTCCTTACTCCCCCGGGTACAATTTCCAGGTCGGGTCTAGTCCGGTCCTTAAAGACTCCTTCCACAGGGTGGGGCCCTTGGGCTCCGCTCACCACTGCCATGTCGTTCTTGAGTTTCTCCAGGGCAATCTCACACTTCTGCAGGGTCTTCAGGGGACACCTGAGGAGAGGGCACATGATCTGACACTGTGGAGGGCTGGAGCAGGTGACTCTGGGGTGCTGGTCCCGATCACCATCCAGGTAGCCTCAGCCACTGGAAACCATCACAGGAGCCCTCTAACTTCTTCCAGAACAGACCCAGCAGGTCTCAGTCTCACCCGAGCCAGCTCTTGCCCCATCTTGGCCCTGTGGCTTGAAGGATTCCAACCTAAGAGGGCCTGGAGGACTGTGTAACTCCAATAGCCCCCCCCCCCCCCAACAGTGACTACAGACCCTGGGAGAATCCTCCTGAAGGACAGCGGAGCCTAAGGTGAGCTGAACTGACACTTGGGTAGGTGTGGAGACACATCCATGTGCAGTCCTGAGCACTGCTGTGCACAGCACCCTGCGGCCAGTGGGCAGAAGCTGGAAGCTGGGCAGCCCAGGGTCAGCCATGAGCTTCTCATAGGTCCCATGGGTTTATCTTCACAACCGTGCACACAGCCGCAGCCGGGCCGACACACACGGGGTGAGACGCAGCAGTCCGCCCAAGGCCTACTCAGCCACCCTGTCATGGGTAGCTGAAGGTGGGGCCAGTACAGACCAGCACCTAGCACAGCGGCCCATGAACCAGCTATGACAGGCACGGGTGGACGTGTGAGGACCATGAGGCCCTGAACAGGGTGGAAAGGTGGGTGCTGGGACCGTGTAGACAGGGTTGACGTTTCAGCACACATCTAATGGTGAAGTCATCCGTGCTTCAAGTATGGCCCACAGAGTGCTGGACTCTTTGTAAACCCACATTGTCACCAAGTTTTGGGGACCCTCTGTGAGCTGTGGTACAGCACAGTCCTGCCCAAGGCCCCAGAGCAGCACTCACCGCTTAGAGGGGTCAGTGAGAATGTCCAGCAGGCTCTTCATCTTACTTAGGTCCTTTTTCCTGTCTGGGAAGGAAAGGGGCATTCAGAAGCAGGCCCTGGAGCCCCGACCCGCCCCACCCTGGGCCAGCCTACCCTCATTCTTGTCGATCTTGTTGATCATGCGTCGCAGGGGCTCGATGTACTTGGACAGTTGCTTCAGCTTGTCCAGGTACTGCTGCTCTTCAGCCTGGCTGGAGCCGGCTGGGCTCATGACCGAACTGGGGTTCACTGTGGGGACAGGATTGGTAAGATGGATGGCTACAACCTGTGGGCAAGTGCCACAGCAGCTCCGAGGGTCCCGTGAGACCTTTACACAACTTGAGACCTTGGGAGGGGAAGGGGGATTAGGCACCTTGTAGACTTGTCCACCCAGCCCAGGCCCAACTTACCAGGGGTGTTTAAAGGTCCAGGAGAGGGGACGCTGAAGTTCTGTGGGGTGCGTGCTGTCACTGGGCTCTGAGAAGGCTGTGGTGAGGGGCTAGGCAGGAAGCTGCTGGGGGATGGGGCAGGGCCGGAGCTGCAGCCA